TTCTGGCCTGAGGTGATAGGGAGAGCTTTCAAGTGGTAACATGCTTATCTGAATCTTCAGAGAGCATTATTCAGGAAATCAAACTGGTAATCCCATCAGATGAATCTTTTGAAAACTTTTTAATAGTTATGCTTCTTGCTGGAAGAAATCCATGGGTGGATCCAAAGCCCAACAGCAGTAATTGGTAACCACTGTTTATGAATGACTTCAAAGGACTTCGTATGAAATTCATTGTGACAGCAGGCTTTCCCTTGGTATTTTAATACTTCCATACCCAGCTTTATCCAAAACAGACAGTGAACTGAGAAGCAAAAGTAAAGCAAATGTTTTTTCTTATCATGAAGGGAATCTGAAGAACAGTGTAATTACCAAAGAGAATCAGTTCTGACATGAATAGGCATGTGTGAGAAAAGAGAAGCTGTAAAGGGATCTGATGCATGATCAGTAGAAAGTGGAGGGTAATAAGAATCAAGTGCCTATGCTGCAGGTCAAACTCGCAAGGCAATGGCTGCTCCACATCTGTTCCTTTCCATGTCTGGCAGTAATTCTGGAAAGTAAAAACATATGGGGCCTTTTGTTGTGCAAGCCCAAAGGTGTCTGTGGAATGGTTTAGTATGATTCTCGGAGGGGGAAAAAAAAATCCACACTAAACCCAACATTTTTTATTTTAGAGTAATCATTTTTGTAACCCTACCTGTCAGAGGTGGAAAACTAATTATTTACAGGCAATATATGCAGTCTTCAGAGCAGCTGTGTAGTAGTAAGCTTATTTATAAGTGTTCTCCATGACAGTGATACTGCTGGTTATTTATTTATTTATGAAGGTCCCAAGAAAGATTCATTGTTGAAAATTCTTGGAGTGAAATAAAGAACATATAGATAATTGTGATGGATTTTTTTTTCAGCAGAAACATTACATATCTTTTCCACAATTCACAAAAGTTTTTAAAAACCACATAATAGGTTTCCTTTGCTTTCTAGCTATTCAGCACAAATGTGGTTGTGTATTCAGTCCTAGTTAGCCACCTCCTTGGAAACCTTCCGTGGAAAGAAAAAAGAGGATGTAATCGATATCCCCATATTTTGAATCCTCAGCCCTTACTGAGAAATGCCCTTACTAATATACAGATGAAGCATGTAAGATGTGTTTTGAAGCTGATTCTCTTTTGGTGTTTCAGTAGGAAGAGAAAACCCTTTGAGACATAATTACTGCAAGGACTACTTAGGTTTTCTGATTTCAAATTCACTTAAGCAACCATGACTGTGGTTGGTGTCAGGAAAGAATTATTGCCTTATATCACTATGAAGCTAAGGTGCATTTTAAAAACACTCTTACAGTAGCACAAAGGCATGAACAGATACTGAAAAAGCAGTAAGATGGCGTTTGCTTTTCTTCTTTGTCCCTGTGGTATTTGTGAGTCGAGGGAAATTGGTGTGGGAAAAGGACCCAGGAGCTTGTGCAGTCAGTCTCCACCACATACTCCGAAAAGTTTGAAATAGAGAAGGTTGTCAGCTGATCAGCCAGTTAAGAAGGTTGTATTGGACTATGAATGGAAAATTTATTACCAACACATGTATTGTCATTAGGGAACAGGCAGTATATTGTGTACCATGGAGGGGCAAGCAATGATGTGCAAGCAATAGAGACCATCTGGCTGAATGGGAGAGTCAGGCTGACAGAGTAAGAGGTATCCCCATCTTTTTTGTTTGCTGGAGGTAAAACACATGCTGATGGCCATGAAAACTTGTAGGTACATCAGTCAGAAACCACAGAGTAAAGGTAATATGCATGTAATCCTAATGAGCTCTAGATTTATTGCTCCTTTGACTGATTCACAGGATGAATCTGATATCACTGGGCCAAAAACTACATATGTACATGGAAATAGCCAAGACTAGTTGTCTTCTGCTTCCTTTCATACATCTTAGCACTATATATATATATGTAAAAGAAAAAAAAAAAAGGAGAGGAAAAAAGTGTTAGAGCCAATTTTACATCTGTGACCTTACCCACTATCTAGTACATTACTTTTTAGTCTTACACAGTGGAAGACACTTTAATGAACATTTTCCAAGTCACCTGAAGGTAATAAACACAACGGAAATCTCGTGGTTATGTCTGTGCCTGAGGGCTGGAAGAACCTGGGCTACAAATCTGTTGAAGGCTAATCACTTAAGGATTTTGTTCATCCAGTTGTGGAAAAAAAAGAATGATAATACTGTCTCTGTGGAAAAAAAAGATGGCTACAGGTCTCTATTTTTGCTTCTGTAGATTCTGTACAGTCATTCAGCTTCAGTTCCTGTGCAGTCTCATTAGTCTTGGCTGGAATCACAGTCTTTGCCTCCTCACCCCCCCAAATCTTCTCCCCAGTTCTGTTAAGCTTCTTCCCAGTCTGCTGCGCCTGTTTTCCCTGGGACTGGGTTTTCTCATGTTTGTAGTGGGTGTATTTTTCATCTCCGCTCCCCCCCCCCTTTCCCATACACTCTGTATATTTTGTTTTGCATCCTGCTTTCCTTTAACTACCTTTGGGGACCCCCTGACTTGTCACTTGTGGAAAATAGATTGCACTGTGAATAGCATACAGGCTGGGATAGAGCAACAAAGTAAAGATACATCTGATGAGGTAAATACTGGCCCGGACTCATGAAGAAACCACAGAGCAGCATTCATATTTCCAGGCATCTGGCTCTGCAGTGATGTGTTCTCCTACTGGTTCAGCAGCAATTACTGCCGGTGCTCTCAGAGTGCTGCTCTCCTCAGGAATGAAGGGAGTAGCAGGCTAGTGGTGCTATGAAAAACATGTGATCGCTTTGCTTGTGGTTGGGACAGGACGCATAAAGCATAGCTCCAAAAATCCAAAAATCTCTTCAGCAGCACCTTCTCCTGGTCCACCAAAAGAGCAACCAGAAGCTCAGAAGAGTCTGTCCTCTCTGTTCTCTCTCTGGAGGCAGTGAACATAATTGCTGCTGTCAAGTCTGTATTGCCACCAGGATCTTTGTGGTGGTGAATGTTCAGTAGTAACTGTGATATACATACCTCTTTAAGTAAGCCACATTGCCATGACGAACACTAGCTGAAGTCATGTTTATGTGCTGACAAACACAACCTGCAGCCCTGCCACTGTGGTTTACAGAAATGGACAAATAATAGCACGGATGAACTGAATCTGATTATCCCTCTTGATGTTAAACACAGCAGTGTTATGCTGCTGTAAAGGAAAGAATAGCTAGAGTGGAGTCTAGGCGAGTTTAACTGAGGACACTGTTTATAGGGCGACAGGTCAGCTTGTGCCTTAGTCTCCAGGCCTGCACAGAGCAAATTAGGATGCAAAACACTCCTTGCCCTCACAATCTGGCCTCTCCATATGCTTTCTCTTTGACTTCATATCCAGGCAAATAGGCAAAGGCAGCTTCTCCAGGTCCTACCTCTCCCAGTTCAAAGGCTATCAGAACTAGATTCAGCCATGAGATTAATGGGGAACAGACAACCCCTGTCATATTGCACAAAACATCCACTGTCCCGGGCAATGACAACAGGAGGCTGGAACTCGTTTGTCTTCTTTCTGCCAGCAGGTAAAGTCCCTGGACATTTCTAGGGGAATAGCATGGAGGATAACAATCTGCTGTTGAAGAGACAGGAGAAGGAGCAGAGAAAGATGAAGGATATCAGTACTGCTGCCAGCTGAAGTTGGGTGAGGATGGTGATGGACGTCAGATGTTACACTGCAGCACATGCACAGAAATATGGCTGACATCTTATACCCACTTAAAGCCACTGCCTAAACATTGTAGTGTTCAGAAAAAAAATATCCATTTGTTCAATCCCATAGAGATCTTGTTGTTTTAAAGGGTTTGAAGTACCATTTAAAGGTTTTAAAGTACTATTTGTCATATTTCTTAAAGTTCAGTTCTTTTGCTGCAGCATAAGAAGTAACAAAGGAAACAAGAACCTTTGCTGCTGCCTATTAATCTTGACAATGTTTCAAATGCAGCATCTATTTAAGGCTTTGTCAGTGCTGCCTGAAAGGAAACCCTTTAGCAGGGGAGAGGTTAAGTGTGTCTGAGCTTATCTGGTACATGTTCCTTTTCCTTACTTGAACTTTCCCTGCAAGCTTCTACATTCTCATTAATTTCAGCAGACCATAAAACCCTACAGGTGATCCAAAAGCTTTAAAGGCAGGATTTTCAGGGATAGAGTTTAATTGCTTATAAAACCTCCATACACACGTTGAGCTCAGGGAGGATTCCTGCAGTCTCATCATCAAAAACTTATTTGATTTGTATTTGCCAGCTTTCCTGGCAATATTATATGCTCATGTTAATTATTTCATTAGAGGACCAAACAAGAACTTACAAGCTAAGTGAAGACATATTATTCAAGCAGCTTAAATGTGAGTCATTAATAGTGGAAAGGGCACAGAGGAATATGTGAACATGCAGGTGTGCAATTAGTTATCTCATAGAAAACTAACACTGATGTTTCACAGCTTCTATTTTCATATTTGTTTAACTTTTCAGTCTTTAGACAAACTATTGTCATATATCTGTCAGCATCAGTGAAAAAGTTTCTTTAAAAGCCTAATGATATAATGGCAACACTTTTTGTATTTTGGTTTCTTTAATCCCCTTCCCCCCCCCCCCCCCCCCCCAACACATCTTTCTCTTAAGAAATAAACAAACAAATTTATGAAACAAACTTATGAATCAGACCATACAACACTACAAGAAGATTTGAGTTCATGATCTAAAGGAATGATGAGGTAAACTATTTTGACCCTGTTTTCTAACCCAAAGTTCTCAAAAATTATGTTCAGAGAGGCCAGGAATTATCTGGCATTTCAAAAGCAGATAAACACCAAAATTATCACCAAAATGATCTGCTGCTGGTATGGAGAAAATACAAAAGTGAGATGTAGCCTCCACTTGTGGTGTGAATACAGGCATAACTGGGAAGAAATCATTGCATAGATGCATAGATGAGATAGAAGTTTATGGGGATCTTTTTTTTTTTTTTTTTTTTTTTTTTTCTGTACCTGAACAGTAAATCATATCCTGTGGGATAGGTAAAAGCCAGAACATGTTCTTCTTTAATACCTCCTGGGATTTATTCCTAATCTGTGTAAGTTAAAGCAACCCTGAAACTACTTTATCCTGCATTTGGAGGTCAAACTCCCCAAGAATTCCTTCTTAAGGTCCTACAGTAGGTATAGCTCAGCTGAGCTTATAAAAACTCATCATGCTCAAATCCGGGTCATACTAGGTGAAACAACTACTACAAACTATTCTTCGTTTGGAAACCTGACTACACACATTGATTTTTCTTTTTAAATTTTGTCTTGTTGTTGCGAATGCCAGTTAAAAAAATCTGTACAGTTATGATGTAGTATGCACTCACTCAGTTGTAACCCTGAACTATGTGTTCAGATACACCTCTAAATTTCTGGAGTTCCTCATGACACTGTTGTATTTTGTGCCAGCTCCAGACACACCTGGAGGCAGTCAGATACAGAACTAAAAAATAAATAAATAAAAAGAATGAGACCAAACCAAGCCATTGACATTATGTTCTCCCTGCCTCTTTTAGGAGCTTTACCTGCAGTCACCCTGTGACATGGTGACGGGCACAGAACTCCATTTCCAGTGCCGTCCAGTCTCACACAGTTGCTTTGCACTTCATGCTCTCCAACTTACACTTGCTATCCAGGGCTTATATCTCCTACTCCCTGGGGGCCATGGTTTCCATATGAGAGAGGACTAAGGACCCTCACACAGTCAGTTACTGACTACTGTGTCTGGAGACCTCAAACAAGAGGCAATAACTAGCAACTCAGTGCTTGACAAGCATATTTGACCTTCTTCACAGTGCTTTGCTGACCGACACCACCTAGCCATGGAAGCTCTCTGTGAGGGACTGCTTCAAATGTGTGAGGCCTGGGAATTGATGATGTTTGTTTAACTTGTACATTTCGCATATGGTTTATAGATCAGTTTGTGGCTGAATCTTGAATGGCACAATTGGAAAATGCCTAATGCACTTTATTAGAGTAAATAATGATGTGAGAGGACAAAAAGGAGATGTTTCAAACAGCACTTTTGCTTAGGGAGAGGCAAAGCTATGTTCCAAGGACTTAAAAAAGGCTCAAAATGATGCTCAGGTTGCTGCTGAAGCTGCAATACAAGAGAAACTTTTAAAAACTGGAGACAGCAAGAAGCAGAGAGACAGAGGGATTTTAACTCCCATTTCATTTAGAAAAATGTATTTGGCAAAACTCCTGCTAGCCAAACTGAAAATGGCAGCCCCATCAGTTTTCCCGACAGTCCCATCAGTTTTCATTGTGAGCATAAACCAGCAAACCCTGCTCACAGTAAGAGTAGAAATCTTGATCAGAAAAGGGGGAAAGATTTACCAAATGTCAGCACACTTTTCTTCAGTGTTTGGAAACCTGGCAGAGGCCCCTAACCAACCCTCAGTGATCTCAGTGGAACCCCCTCACTAATTTCACTGGGATACAAACTGATCCCATAGAGAAGAACTGGTGTAGCCAAGATGGAAAGTTAGGGTCACATCAAAATTCCTGTAATCTGCAGTACTTCTGGGAGGCTTGGTTGAAGGCTGCACCCTTCCACTCACACATGCACTGCACATCAGCTAGACAGGATACTCAGACTTACTGACTTTCTAAATATTTCTTGAAACCTCTGGAATGTTTTGGGCAAGGTCCAGGAACTGGAAAAATATAACCTTGGAGCTTCTGGAGAAAAGTAAAAAATAATATAAAAAAATACTGGTAGTCATTTGAAAGAGCACTAATTTAGAGTGACTGAGGGATCCCGAAAATTGCTGAAGGGGCAGAACAGCTGCATGAGGTTCCAGGCTAAGAGACTTGTGCTGGAAATCAAAGCCACCCATCTGAGGTTGCAGCTGCTGGGCTCACACCAAACTCTGCCTCAGGTTTGTAAGGGCTGGTACCAGCCATACACAGTGCCATCTAGTGGGTCTGGGAGCAGATACTTACCTTTTATTTGGGGTCCCAGAGTAGCTCTGAGATCAGCTGTCTGAGCCTTGCACTGGTGCTTTTGCAGCTGAAATGCTTGGTACATCGATTTTCTCATTGGCACTGTGAAACGTAGCTGCAGTGATAAATATAGGGAAACACAAAATGTCAGGAAGATCAGAGCTTACTGACAACTGCACATGACTGCTGGTAAACAGCATATGCCCCATGCTCTGATGGGAGAAATATTCTTGGGATGTGTAGGATACGGTCTTAATGTGGCTTGTGAGTTCTGCTTTCTCCAAAATAACAAAGAGGCAAAGAGCATGTACCTCTCTCTGTTCCCACCAGCACCTGGTGGGTGGAAGGACAAATTTCTTTTCTTTCCCTGGTCTCTCATTCCTTCATACTGATCTAGGACTATGAGTCAGCTTGGGCTGAAAACATTTCTCTCATGCCTGTCTGCTGCCTTTTGCTCCAATAACCAAAGTTAGGTTGACTGACATAGGTTCTGGAAGGAATTTCCCCTAGGTGAGATTAGGAAGGATCTTTTTTTTTTTTTTTTGAAAATACAAAACCTCTGATATGGGGACATGCCAAGACAAGAATATTGTCTTCAGCTCCTTTTGTAGCAAAGGTCTGAAAATTATTATAAGGTATTGGGAAATACTCTGAAGATTACCTGGTTGTGGATAGGGGATGAACCTGATGATTCATGTAATCTCTCCTAGTCCTTTGTTCCTCCCTGTGAGTTTCCTTTGTTCTTCTTTTTGTTTTGTTTTGTTTTGTTTTGTTTTGTTTTGTTTTGCTAGTTTGTTTCCTAAGGAAAGAAGAGTATAAAATTTCAACTTCTGGGTTAACTTCTTACTGCTTCCTCGCATTGTTTAACAATATGAATAACTGTACTCTATGAGATAATTCACCCATGTGAATTGCCCAGGGGGTGCAAGGCCTGGCCTTGCTTGCTGAATGTGCTTAGAGCAGGCTTTCAAACCATCAGGGGAGACTTGTTAACTCTAAATCATTGTCTGCATCTTGAGACTGGTGGGGTGTAAGTGGTCATGTTCCTTGAAATAACGGTTGTCTGACATGTCAGAACATAGTGTCCTTAATATCTGCACACAGTATCTTGCAAGCAGATGGAACAACCACCAATGACACAAAAAAGCTACACAGGAGAGTCAAATGCTGCAAGAAGCAAGGAAAAACCCCATCAAATTACAAATTAGCAATTTTTATTTGTTTATTGATTTATTTATTTGGCACAAATGCATTCTTAACTTTACATTCCAGAATTAGTACTGAATATTTTAGGCTCCAGCAGAACAAAATAATTTGACAAGGGATATCAAAGACAACAAGAGCTTCTGTAAGTAGATAAGTGGCAAAAGGAAGGCAAGGAAAAACATAAGCATGTGGTGAATGGGATAGGGGCTCTGGTGGCACATGACTTGGAAAGGACTGAGTTAATGAATATCTTCTTCACCTCATTCTTTAATAGCAAGACTGGGCTTCAGAAATCCCAGGTCCCAGTGACCATAGGGGAAAGTCTGGAGTGAAGATGTACCCTTGGTTGAAGAGAATCAGGTCAGAGAATACTTAAACAAACCAGCAGTACATATGTCCATGGGTCCTCATGCACCCACAAGTGCTGAGGGAGCTGGGTGATGTCTTTGCAAGACCACTCTCAATTATCTTCAAAGATCACGGTGAACGAGAGAAATGCCTGAGGACTGGAGGAAAACGTCATGGGGGAGGAGGGATGGAGAATGGACCCAGGCTCTTTCCAGTGGTGTTCAGTGCCAGGATGAGAGGCAACGGGCACAAACTGGAAAACAGGAAATTCCATCTGAACACCAGGAAACACTTTACTGTGAAGTTGAAAAAACACTGGCACAGGTTGTGCAGAGCAGTTGAGTCTTTCTCCATGGTGATCTTCAAAAGTTGTCTGGACATCAGTCCTGGGCAAGCAGCTCTAGGTTGCTCTGTTTGACCAGTGGGGTTGGACCAGATGGTCTCCAGAGGTCCCTTCCAATCTCAAACAGTCTGCAACTCTGCAATTCTGAGAAATAATGCAGTTTTCCTCCTTAGCTCAAAAGTTAATTTTAAGATACTTTGGAGTATCACTCAGAGATACATTTTTTCATTGCTGTCATATATAAAGATTTTGTGAGGAGCTAGCATAGTAGTATTTTTTTATTTTATTTTATTTTTTGTCTTAAGTCTTAAACATGTATCAGCTGAAATCAAGATTAAACTCATGTTGACTTGATCCTGTCATCAGCCTGTATGTGCAGTTTCTTTTCTAAATATTGAAGGAAGTAAGCAAAGATCAGAATTGTGTAAGCTTGTGCTTAGGTTCTGCTTTTTCTTTTCCACCTTAGCATACATATCTTTTGTTCTTAGTACAGCTGCACATCTTTCTTCCAAAAAAAGGATACAGACTTATAATTTGTTCTGCAAGACTCATAGTATCTGTTATTACTTGACTCCCATTTCTATGTTTTTAGGTTTCATTTTTGCTTGAATGGCATTTTAAATGCTGTTAACTTGGATTGATTTTATGAAGAACATTGAATCAAGAACAAAACGAATGCTGAAGAGAGAGAGGAAAAAACTGTGATTAAAATACTTCATATGTGTTCTTTATCAGGCTCTCTATATCTTGTGCAAACATGCAGTGATTTTTTTTCATAAAAAAAAGCTATAGCTATATAAAACCTAATATATATAAAACTTAAAATATTGTTAAAAAAAAGGAACCCTCTTTGTATTCTCATGATAATGATTCTCTGTATACTAGTACCAATTCTTTAAAAGTTTTAAAAGAAGACTAATTTACTTCATGAGGACAAGTGCAAATGGTTAAGGAGACATTATGACCTTACAGCAAGGATTCTAGCTATCTTTCATCTGTGGAAAAAACAAAACCGAAAGTCACAAAGAAATGTGAAGAGCATATAAGATGGAATATGCATGATTCTGCTAGCCAGTAAGTGAGCCAATAATTAAAGAATACAGTACAGTAATGTTATAAACACATTTTAACCATTTAGCACTTTGTGTCCTGATCCGGGAAAACAGTTCAGCCTTTGCTCAATTACAAATATTTGACCAGTCCCTTTTGAAGTAAACAGAATAAAGCTAAGTGGAGTTAGGCCCTCAAAATGGGGGTTATTTGCTTGAGTATCTCCAGCATAGAGACAGTGCTTGACCCTGCCAGCTTGTGTGGTTACACAAGGGTGGGGTGTTTTTAGTCTCTTTTGTTCTTTTGGCATCTTCCTCTCCCCTCCCTTGGCCTGACAGTCTTCACTCTGTCTCACCCTCTGCTTTCCTAAACCACAACATACCTCCTCTCATCTCTTCTTTCGCTCTGAATTACCATGGGAGAATCTCCACACAGGCAAATACCACCCATCAGCAACCTAGAAAGTCAATTGCTCTGTGGCTCTTGGACCTACCTTCGTGTAGGCTGGTCATCAGCCACTGGTGATCAGCTGGTAAATGCTTGTGTGTCCATGTTTTCAAAGACAGACAGACTTAGTATAGACAGAGCTAGACCTGCTCCCTTGGCTGCTACCAGCAAGCTGTATTAATTCCATTTCAAGAAAGATTCCTAATTTTAATTGATTTAGGGATTGTCATGAGCAGAGCCAGTCTGAAATTGTTCCAGCTCCACTAGCAGTATATACAACACAGTCTGGGAACTTCTGTCTGGAAAGATGCACATTTACTGTAGAAAACCACGATCCTTGAATATCACATACCTTCCCTCATGAGCCATCAGACACATCTTTCATTTCAGCAGGCACAGAATCAATACTTATTCCAGTAACAGATATGTGACTAATAGGTCAGAAATGTCTGGGTATGAGTCATTCACTACTATCGTTGCTTCTGTTGCTTGGTGGTCCAAAAAACAGCGAAATATACACTGGAGAGGAAAAAAAAAAAAAAAAAAAAAAAAGAAGAATGTAAATATCCAGACTGTGTGTAGGAAATCTTTGGTGACTCTGTTTCTGACAACCTTCATGGTTTTTCTACAGCACACAGACAAAATATATTTAATTGCTTTCAGTTTCAAACACATTCTTTTGCACTATAGACACACATATATATATTTAACTTTTATTTTTATTTTTTATTTCTTGTATTTGCTTGATTTCTTTCCATATATTTTCCCTCTTTTTGCTTTTGGCTATGTACAGCTTTTTCTGTAAGAACATCTTGTACTCAGTCTCTAAGCAGGTTAGTCTCATGCATGGCTTCTGATGGGGTTGAGATTGGCAGCATGAGCTCATGGGGTTTATGGATTCCCTCACATTGCTTTTTAAATTTTGGTAGGGGGATAATTTTATAGTCAAAACCAGAAAATCCCACCCAACTTCTATGAATATGAGTCATGTTGCCAGCTCAACTTGCTGTGCTGGAAATCTGCTGATAGAAATCTTATCCATTAATTGCTAGCTGCAAAAATTACTTTGAATCATTTGTCTTTTTTTTTTTTTTAATTAATTTATTATTTTTATTTTCTCCATGATACATCCTGAGCTATTTCTTGTTCAAACAGGTGCCCACTTCCTTTTATCTAGACAGCATCTCCAACCAAACCAGCATTAACTAATGGCTGATTTCCATCACCAGCAGCACATGCAATAGGAATACTACTGTGCATCCCTGAAAACACTTCCTGTGTTTAAAGTGTTTAAAGGTATGCAGCCTGGGTGCTGGTACTACTCATGGGATCATGGTCTAGCTGCACAGATGTAATTGGACTGATCTGCAGTGGCAACAGACTGGATGTGACCACAGGTTTTTCTTCAATGATGATTCCTTTGCCATTCTTCTCCATTTAATTTGCCAAAAGTGATCAAATGGCCTCTTCTCTGATTCCCAAAGATGCTGAGATTTAGTACTTCTCACTCTTTGATAGAAGAGCCTAACTTATGTTATCTGGACAGCATTCTATACTGAAATATATGCAACAGATTTCTCTCAATTATCCACCATGTTTGTGTCTTTCTATCATACACTTTTCAGGAAAAGAAATATAGAAATATCTGTTAGTTTAATATATTGAAAATCAGCTGAGAGTTAAAAGGAAAAGGAAAAAGAAAAGGAAAAGGAGAAAAAGCTCAACAGGTTCATCTGAAAGAATGCCAGAATCTGAGGAATTCTTTCACTTGAAGGAAAGATATGTGGATATCCACACATATACAATTGAAAATCCCAACTGAAACACTGTATATATATATATAAAGTATTTAGATAAATAATACTGTGATGTTAGCAAGTCAGGAGGAGCAGTGTAATCAGAGGTCAAAATTGTTTCTACTTAACATGTGCTTGGTTGCTTTGGAAGCTTTTACTCTCTGGACTGGAATTTTCCCTTCTGGTAGCCTCTTCTTGTACAAAAAATGGTGTAAATTTGTATCACCAAAACATCACCAGCTTTGTGATTTTTAGTGAAGCATATCTAGATGCAGAGCATCCAGCAAATAACAGCTGAGTTTGGCAACATTTAACAAAGAGTTTCAGAACTTTCAAAGCAGTCAAATATTTTATATCTACAAGAAGAAACAATACTTACAGCATAACTGCATAGCCTTTAACTCTTGCTGTGATGTCCCTCCAAAGCCATGTAGCTCTGCCAAAACCAGCCAGCTTTCCATCAGTTCCCAGGCATGTTGATAGGATATACCAAGTGTTAACTCTTTAGAAGAGTTGAATGATCAGCAATTAAAATGGTGGAAATCTTCCTGGGAAATTATTTAGAATAGTGAATAGTTCAGTTGTATTTTCTTCCACAGAAAGTGTCCTTATTCTTTCTCTAGGAAAAACAAACAAACATCAACCTCCCCCTCCGCTCCCAACAAAAACCATAAGACCCCATCAGAGGAATTTTCCTCCTGTCCTTTCCTCTTCTAAATCAGGATCCTTTCTTCATCAAGGAATGTTCTACCGCACTTTAAAATGTCTGATTTACTCTTTCTGTTTTCAGAACTCAGATTTGTAGACTTCAGTCTTTTTCCTGCCTTTTTTTTTTTTTTTTTTCTTCCACAGAAGCTCTCTTTAATTATGCTCCTTTTATGTTATGTCAGAACTCACACTCAATGTCTATCAGGGCTCAGAACTCTTGCTTAAATTGATTTTTTACTCTTTCTTCACTTGTAACACTGCCAAACAAATTGACTAGAATGAATGCAGTGACCTGACTATTATTTTTAGACAAAGCCAGGAGTAACCTCATTAACATTAGGATGTAGGCTAAAGAGGGACCTGAGAGACTTCCTTTATAAATAGGAAATCTATCCAGTATCTTGAACTCATAGCCCCAGAATATAAAATCCAGGGCAGAATTTTAGCTACATATTGTCAGTGAAGGAGCACTTCTCCTCTCCTGGGAGCAGATCATATCAGCACTGCTAAAGCAAAATGGACAGGCCTGTATAGTCAGAGTAATGTATGAATAAAAAACACAACTGGCTTTATATAGTGCCTTGTCTTTATTGAGCATGGGCTCATATGTGGAAGTACTTGCTACTTTGACTTAATAATAATTGTTATGGTTACAATATATTTTCTCATTCAAAAGAAAATAAAAACACACACACACACACACACAAAAGCATAAAAAAGCCCCAAATTCTTCAAAAAAAAAATCTGATCCTGTATGTAAGCGTAGGATTGACTTTTAATGAACTCTCTAGGCTCTTTTGCTAGTTATTACACTCAGACTTGTAACTTTTGACCTTATCCTGGCATGCCAACCATGCCAACTGGTTTACAGAGCTATATTCACAAAATATGGGACCTTTAAAATTTATGTATTTGGATATAGTTTCCAAAGCAGGATGCCTGGGCTTGTACAAAGTGTACTCATATTTGTTCCTCATCATTAATGAATTTGCTCAAATTGGATTGGAAATGTGGTGGGTATTTTGTTTCTGAAAACTAACAGTATTTTTATGAGACATTTGGGATAATTTATGGGCTTCTCCCGTGATACTAGCTAACTTACTATAGCAGAGAAATATATGATAGAAAACAGAGAATATGAGGACCTAGCAGATTATCTAATCTCTATCTTTTCCGGTACATTGATTTCTCTGGTGAGTACTAAATAAACATAATCCTTTCCTGACTAGTCTCTAGAGTTAATCTTTTAAGGTATATTTCTGAGCAAAAGTTTTCCTAGAAATATTGAGACAATCATAGAACAGACAAATGAAATATTTACTCTACAGATTTCTCTGTAAAAATGCCAAAATTCCCATAATATAGATCATCATTTATCATTGAAAAACAAAACAAAGCAATATATGCATCATCGAGTTGTTGTTACTTGCTTGTTACATAAATGGAAATATTTAACACACTCAGGTGTCCAAATCCCACTCTCTTTCTGAATCGCCTCATTGTTTGTTCTTGGCTCACAAGCAGGGTGATAGCATGACTGGGACTTGGGAAAACACCTGTGCTTGAAGAGAATCAATAGGAAGATGAGAAAGGAGTGCCATGTCTGAAAGCTTCCCATGAAAAAGCAATTGTGGAAGTTACCCAAAAACTGCTGAAAGAAGGGACTTATATTTATAAATATTCATCAGGTGAACAATGCCTTAGTTAAATTATGAATACCACTGAAAACTTTGATAATGTCTAGGAAGGTGAAGTTGATTTTTCAATAATTAAAGTGAATTTCTGTCTTATTTCTGTACTTATTTCCTGCATTTAAAAGGTCAAACACACTAAGATCATTTAGTTAAACAGATATATGAATAAAGCATAAATATTCAGAGCATAGTTTAATGTCATCCTTTGTGGTGGTTGTTTGTCAGCATGTTGTTTCCTCCTCTCTAAAGAAAACAGTGAAAAAAAATGCCAAGGCAATTAATTTTCATTCTGTACCCTCTTAAATCCCTCCTCTACTTTTTTTTTTTCTATTGTCTTTTCTAATCTTGTTATGACTTCATTTATATCATAAAATTTACATAAATTTGGATACAAGGCTGCTGCTTCAAATTAGTGCAGTGTTTTCAACTTTTCTGGAAGATTGCTATATTGCAAACAATAAAGAATTGAATGAAAATACAAAGATTCACAGCCTAGAGAAGCATCATTACCTCATCTGCCTTATATATGACACTTGCTGGTGACACTTGTGTACTTTGTTTGCAACTGTCTTGTTGTTAAGTAAATTCTCTGTTTTATTATTCAAGCTGCATATTTAAATATTCATATTTACAACCATATATAATAAATAATGATGCATAATAACACATAACACTTTTTAATTTTATTTGTTTTACAAATTATAATAACTTTATAATAATGAGTTTTTACCTAGGTAAAACTGTTTTTAGACCATAATGGATAACTACTTTTGGTTTGATTGCAAACTGTTGATAACTACTATTTCAATTTAGTTTTTCAACTGCCTCTTCACTTAATCATGGTGACTTCATTTTGACTAGCAATGTGCAAACTTTGGTTGTGAGAGACTACTCACAGACTGATAATTTTGTTCAACTTAAACACGTGCATAAAAAACTGTATTTTGGTTAAGCTTATAGTTCTAATGACTGTCATGACTAATGACTGTATTGACTAATGACTGTAATGATTAATGACTGTCATAACCCCAAATTGGCTTGTGACTGTAATATGGGAACGCTAGACTGTACTTCTGTTGTTTGTTTATAAGGATGTTATGTAAATATTTTCAAAAGCTTATTAAAATCAGACAGATCATATCATATCATATCATATCATATCATATCATATCATATCATATCATATCATATCAATCAATCATATATATCATACCATATCACATCATATCATCTACTGCTTCCTGTCTACCATATAAACCAGTTATCCTGTCAAAGAAATTTGTTTGACCTGACAAACTCTTTTGGCTGGCATCCTACCAGCTATCAGCAGGGCCTGCCAAGATTTGTCTTGGCAGCCTCTCCCATTAGAGCTATGAAAGCTGGTGGGGCACAGAAAAGCAGATGGTGTATTTATCCATCATTTATAATTATGTTGTTTATGATAAATCTTTGCTGCCTCTTTCTTATTGCCCTAGGAGTTTCTATGTTGGTATTTTTGCAGCAGGTGAGACCCATGCCTGGAGACATTCATGATTTCCTCTGAAAAATTATGAGAAGAGGTTGGAGTTATACAAGACTGCAGAAATATTGTGATGTCTTTCCTCAAGAAGAGAAATACAGACGGAAAGAAAAAAACAGACTCTGACATTAAGTAAGAGTGACTGAGTAGTCACGAAGCAGACCTGCAACAGTGGCTGTGTCTGCCCACAGGAGAGGATCACTGGTGTAAGAAGCAATTTTGTGTGGATCCCCTGATCTGCCAGGCTGGGGCACCAACCACATCACACTCTAGCCTTCTTCCAACAAAGGCTGCTGCCTTGCCTTTGCATGGCCTGCAGAGGCGGGAAAGAAAAGGTGGGGGGGGGCATAGTGTACTAAAAGTAGCTGAGGAGGTACACAGTTAGGAGAGCTGGGAGCCCTCCAGGCTCCACAGTATTGGTGTGGAGGAGAATGCTGTGTTCACAGCAAGTGAAGTGCAGACAAAGCCAGTCTATATTTCATACCTGTAAGTCAGTTATAGACAGCATTGGACCCCTCATCGTGACCATTTTGAACTGTAAACACAAGGCATGGTGTCTGAATTATTTATGCCTTGAAGCAATACTAAAATCAAAATGGATTTATCAAGAACAAATGATTTCAGATCCATTTAATTTCATTCTTGGAAGAGGTAACAGCCCTTGTGTATAAGAAGTAAATTGTAGGTGTGATATTACTTGGCTCTATTAACAGTTTTCATGTCATTATGTAATATTTTCTTAAGCAACGAGGGAAATGTGGTCAATAAGAAATAGTCAGATATGATGCACAGTTAGCTGAAGGAAAATCAGAGAACAGCTGTCATTGGTTTGGTGTCAAAATGGAAGGAAATATGAAGTGAGAGTTTTTCCTACACCTAAAACTGTTCAAATTTCTCTATTTACTAAAAGGTTTTGTGCTCTAAAAACATGTATATTTTTCCCAAAATGGTTTGCCAAAAATGATGGCAAAATGAGAAATCTGTAGGACAGACAGAGAACTCAAAATTAACTTATCATATTAGAGACACTGTCTGAAAAGGATACTGTTCACTAGGGATCAGTGCAAAATGTTTAGTTAGGTTCATCTTACCTAAACTTTGACAGTTTGTGATCTAGTCTAATACAGTCAAGGAGAGTCAACATCCCCAAAGTCCTTGATGTTGAAAAATTAGCAAAAATAATTTACTGTTTTGATTAGAGCAAAAGTAAAATGTCACATTTAGACAACAACCACTACATGGTTTGCAGATGCATTGACTATGAAACTACAATATCATACAGCTCTGTATAAAGCAAAAATATGAAATATATTTTTTCTTTACGTAGACACTAAAAGAAACTCTATTGAAGCACTATGTCCATTTCTGGCACTTGGTCTTTGAGAAAGAGGTGGATCAGCTGAAGAAATCAATGAAAAATAGAGTAAGAATGATACCTGAAATAACATAATGTATGAAAGAGAGTCAAAGGAATGTGAGATGTTTAGGGAGACAGAGGCTAGATGGTTGTTAATATGAAGAAGGGAATAGATGGTTCCTCATTGCAAACATGTAAGAGGTGGTGGGGTAAAATCTATATAGAAAGATTTAGATTGGTATTGGAGAGATAAAAGGCAGGAACATCAACATATTGTTGAACAGAGCATAGGGAGATGGTGGATCCTTCAAGGTTTAAAAACAGGGTAGATGAACCACAGTTAAGAATGACACTGTTTTGTTGGTCCTCTTTTAGAGAAGAGGAATTAACCACATGATTTGCTGAGCTCCCTGTAGGACTTATTTTCTGTGATCTCTCATTCTCAGAGCTTTCTCATTTTTCTTAAGGGAGTGATAGCAGTGTTGGATATGTAATAAATGTGCCTAAGAAAGTACAAAGTTGCCCAACACAAATGCGAAAGATCGATCGATAGACATTGATTATTTTCTCATGTCTACAGCCTTGGACATGTTGTGTTAGTGAAACAATTCTATTTTGTCATTGAATGACAAGTAAATCATACCTGGTTTCAGTAATAACCCTGCAGATTGTACTATCATTTCAGAGAGAATTATTTATATCCTCAGAGATGTTATTTATACCCAAAGCCCTCTGATGATGTCAGTTGGCATCAAAACACATACAAGATGTACCACATATACAAGATATACAAGATACACAGGATGTGCCTTGTGGACCCATGTGCTGTGCCATTTACAAGGAAAATGGATAGGAATTAAGTGTTTAGGGATAGATGGTATTTCAATAGGGTGAATTCTCTAACCAACTCCATACTAGTAAACCTTACTGATATGGCTTCTGGTAGAAATTCATTTAGAGCACTGAAATAACAATATCAGCTATGTCAGTATTGAACCGCCTTTGCCTTTTCATCAGCAAATTAGAAATTGCATGGATTCATGCTTACTGGCAAGGAGTGTTTTTTGATATCGTGCAGAAGTCAAAAGTCACTCTTTATTTAGAGCAATAGTAATCTCCACTTCTGAAGACTTTCACATATAGTAAAAGTAAGAAAGAGGTTATATTCTTCTTCTGTTTCTGTATTATTCTTCTGTATCTGCCTTGAGATACCAGCATAGCCACATCCTACTTTGCTAGTTCCCTGTCTTAACACTGGAGTTTGGCTCTCATCAGACCTTCTGCACTCTGCTGGGAATAAAGGAGAATCTATTTCATTTCCTCCACATATTTCTGTCTTCAAACTGAAGACCTCAGAACTGCCCAGCTGTGGGTCATGCCAAAATGCATTAACATTTTTGTTAATGCATTTATGTAATGTATGTTAATGTATGTGAACAGTATATACATGTGTGGAAGGCATCAGGCATCTTATATCCAGTGCCAGAGTGAAACATCTTGGGATGTCTGTGTCAGTATAACTGTTTTCTGCTCTCTTGATTGCCCTGTGGACAATCTAGTGCCTAACTTGTACGGCATGCCTAGCTTCACATACTTAGACATGTAAGACTCCCTGCAGCTCATCTGGTGAAAAAGATACACTAATTACATCCTGACAGGAATCTTGGGGTACCCTTAACAGATACAGTCTGAGATGGTCATCAATATAGTCACAGAGATTTCAGTTTCAGAAGATAAAAGAGACCTGTTACCAGTCAAGGCAGAGAAAACAGTAACTTCAGTTGTTCTGGGACAGACTATTTTATTTTATTTTATTTTATTTTATTTTATTTTATTTTATTTTATTTTATTTTATTTTATTTATTTATTTTCTGGATATTTACTTAGTGTCACTTCTCTAGCCACACCAATCTGAAAAGGTGTCAAAATGCTGTACAAATTAGTCACTGAAAAAATTAAGCCCTGTAGTGAAAAAAAAAAAAAAAGCATCAACAGTTCATCCTTAGGAATGAAGACAACTAAAAGTAACTTATTATGTTGAAAATAACAGCATAATTACAACCATAGAAATAAAATAGCTTTTGAGAAAAAAAAACACATGATAACACCATGTTTTTTCTGATGGGCCACTGGCATAAGATATTTTGTCATAATATATAATTTTTCAAATGCAAATGAAATGTATACATAGTAATTAACAAAAAGAAATCATGAACACATATTTAATAATAAAAATATCAGATTCCTACAGAATATAGTTAATTTTTGTTCAATTTACAAAACTGGTTATGTGCTAGCAGTTTTCTTTGAAAACTTTGACAAAGAAATATATTTTCTTTTTCAGCTCTGTACAGATATGTTTTCACATAAATGCTCTTTTATTTTATAATTTACTTTTTTTCCACTATCCTTTTGAGGACCCAAGAAAATAAGAACGGGATTCTAAGGGTTTCTGGAAAGAAAACTCAAACAGGAAATACTAGCTTTTTCTGAGTCTGAGCCAACTAAAAATAGTCTCAGCATTTGTGGATTTTTTTTTTTCATGTCTTTCTTTCTTTCTCTCTTTCTTTAAGTAATTTATTTATTTTATATCTTCTTTTCCTTATACTACTATTTTGTCTTTAAGCCTTTATTAGAATGCATGGGTTCAGCAAACTACTTCAAAACTCAACTCAGAGAAGCAAGAGAGGTACAGAATTCTCTTCTTGGAAGTAGTAGAGATGCTCAGATCACTGAGATTGTACAAGTAATATAGCACACTCTCACAAAATAAGTCTGAAAACATGTTTGGGTATGTAAATTTCTACCAACATAAACTTACAATGTCATTTGTTCAAGCAGAGGACAGGACAGCAATACCCCGGGATATCATTGTTGGACAACAATACTGACCTATACTGTTCCCTAGGGCTTCTTGTGCTACCCCAGGGAAACCACTCTGAAGTTCCCTGTCCTCAGCTGTCCATTGGTTAAATATAATGTTGGCACACAGAGCTCTTGCCAGATGAAAATTTGAGGTACTGTGTGATACAATATTAAAATGACTCTGTAAAAGTACCTCTAAAGGAATCTGTTTTCTAAATTATGTGCTGTAAGCTTTAAATAAATTTGAAGCTTTTGATGAGAAGTCAGTATGTAAAGGCAATTGCATTACTTTCTGATCACTGATGTTTTTCTAGCAGAAATTCATCATATTTCAATCAATGACCGTCTAGTCAAGAGCAAACATCTTAGAAATTTTAATGGGAAAGGTATTTTGCTTTATAAGACAATCATAATAAAAAGGCTTTTTTTTTTTTTTTTTTTTTTAATTTAAAGCAAAATTATAGCAAAAATTGATTATTTTGGGGGTAAGATATAGCTTAGAGACAGAGGGAAGAAAGATTATGGTTTTCCACTTTAAAATGTAGAAGAATATACTTTAAGAACTGTTGGCACTAAAGAGGCATTAGTACTTCGTCCAGTAGAGAGAAACAAGTACTTTGCCAAATCTGGATGTCTGGGTTCAGAACCATGTATTCAGGTTCTGGTGCATTCAAATTTCACACATTATGGAATTTTTTAAGGTCATTTAAAAAATTCTGTCTGTTTCTTCAATTAAATTCATATTTTTGAATACTTGCTGGTGGAATTAACACACATTAATCTGACAAGGTTAATTTCTTCTATTATTATTATTATTATTTATTTTTTTTTGGAGTCTACTTTCTTACCTGGTAGTAGTAGAGCTCTGGAATAAAAAAAAAAAAATAAAATAAAAAAACAAAACAAACAAACAAACAAAAAACTTTAAAAATAAAAGTAGGCTGTAGGAATGTTATAATGTGTTATTGTTGAATTGCTGTATAAAAGGTTAAAAAAGCACATTTATGGAAAAGAAAATCAGAAGTCACATGTGACAATAATATGGAAGTAAAATTTTGCATTATATACCTACTTGAAGACATTTTATTTCTCTGTTATTTAAATGCTTAATTTGATACTATTGTGGCCATAATGACAGTAAAATGAATATTAGATAACAGTTATTTCATGTGAAATGGGATATCTTCTTGGAACCTTAAATGTCTTTTATCTTTTAAGATATTAAAGAAATTGCAGACTCAGTGTGCTTCCCAGTATCCTGAAGGTAGAAAATAGTCTTATTTTATAAATTTAGGGCAGATTACAGCCCATTGAACTTGTGTGCTTACATTGAGATGTATGGTATTTTTCTCCTTCAAGAGCTCTATTTATCTCTATTGACTGAAGAGAAAATATAAACATTTCCTTTAGGACAAATGCTTCACCAGCTGCCTAGATTAAGACATAAAGTGGACTAGCTGCTATGTTTTAACTTTGCATTTTGTAACTGGCTTATCTTTCTTATCACCAGTACTGCTGTGTAAGGGATGTGGAGTTGGTGTCCATGACACGCGGTAGAGCAGAAACTTGTGCTCTTCTGGAGATGGTGGGTAGATGGTCTAAAACGGTGTAGGTTGCAAATGTGTCAAGGTTAAATCTTGCTTGGCTGGTCTCTCATTGTGGAGGAGGGCTCCACCAAGAGACATTCAACTCTTCAACCATTTACGTGTCTTTACCTTTGGTACAAGAGAACTTAATCAGCAGATAGTATGGAAAAAATAAATTCAAGGGATTCACTTTCAAAATGTGAAGACTTTCTTATCTTTGTCATAGAACTGATCAGTTACTTTGAAGGCATCCAAAGAAGAGCAGTAGTATCATAAGAAAGGTGATTTCCATTTTGGGCTGGTATGGTCATTTAAAATTTCACCAGATAAGCAGAGAAAATAATGAAAAAAAAATCTTACAAGACCTGTGTGGAGTTATCAGTGACCTTTACCTACAGAAATGATGGAATAAACAAATCTCAATAACAAGAACATTCAACAATAAAAGCTAATTAAGGTTGGACTAGATGATCTTAGAGGTCTTTTCCAACCTAAATTATTATATGATTAACTAACCCTGACTTGTGGCCAAGACTTAAGGGAAATTTATGGTATAAAAATAATTTATATCAATTAAGACCTGATCACATATACTTTAGTTTCGATGGAGTAATGTTGCTTTTATACAGAGGCAGAAGGAGGACTCAGAATAAGTCCACTAATTTGTTTGAAAGAATAATCAGCACATAAATCTTTAGATTTAACCCTGATGGGTTTCCTCCTGACCACAAGTAAGAACAAGTTGAAAGAAAATCTTGCCTGAATGTTTGCTGAGCAGTGAGTTTAATTAATTAACCTTCAGAGGATAATTTTCACAACATATCAAGATGAAAGATACGTGAAAACATAATTATTAAAACCTAATTCTATTTTAATTTGTTTTTGGATCAAAAGCACAAAACAGATTAATAAAATGAACTGTCTATCATCTCAGCTGAGATTCAACCAATAACATTTTTTGTAGTAAAAGCTTATCTCTGATCAGGAACTTCTAATTACCAATGAAGTATGAAATATCACCATACCATGGGCATATTACGACCAAGTTAAACACAAGCCAAAATTACTATTTTCTCCCCCAGACCTTCTTCCATTATTGTATTGCACCACAGTACTCCAAGTCATAGGGGCCCTCAGCCTAACATGCTCTTTTTAATAGCTGTTACTAATTAATAAATAGAGATAACGAAATGGGCAAGAGCTCTTAGAACAAACATTGGAATTGAATTTCATAAGAAACTTACACCTTTCTCAAAATTATTATTTTTTTTCTTCTTTTTTCTTTTTAGAAGAATGGCTTATAGAAGAATGGTCTACGAGAAAACTGTATTCGTGATGCTATTATATTGTTTAATTACACAAAGCACAATTATCTGTACCAAGTAATAAGTCTGGTAATGATGATGACTGGTGTAGGCGATAACTCTCCTAGGGTCCTGTTCTTGTTCTTGTTGAATTTAGTCAATATGCATTTTTAAACATTATTATCTGGAAAGGTGTTGGTGCAGATGTCTTGTGAATATTGACACATACAATGCACATAATATAACAAGACTGAGAGAAAACACTCATATAGCTCTATTGTAACAAGCCACTCCAAAGTAATGATCCTTTGACTTTGCCAGTTAGATGCCAGTTATGTGGCATCTAAGAAAGGTGGGAATGGAAGAAGTGAATACAATTGGGTGATCTTTAATAAGGTTTTTGACAGCCTTTTACAAGAATGACATCTCACACACTAATTAGTAAAATATGAGCTGCAAGAAATTGCTGTAAATTGAATGCAAACTGTAGGTAAAAGCAATTATCACTGGCACAGTGTGAAATTTGAATTCGCTGGGATTCTCCAATAATTTCTTATTGGAAAAGCTCCAAATGTGTTTATATTGATGGATGCAAAGTACTCCCATCTTTGTGTGGATAACTCTTGCCTAGGAGAGGTTGAAGCTTTTTCACAGACAGGATGAATTCCAAATTCTGAGTCTTGTTATTCACTGACTGACTGTTTGTTCTTGAACATTTGAATTATAGGAGCTTCATGAATTTCATGGAAACAGGGCTTAAACTCTTCATATTATTCTAGAACAGAAAGAATTCTTAATTTCATTTTCTTAAATCAAAAACTTTAAGTGGAAATGTTTCCACAAGTCCTTTCCTGTTTTAATACTAGATATGCAGAGACACCATTTCTGTAACTACTTCCTTTGTAGAAGTTGCCTTTTGTCATCTTTCACTTCAGTTGCATGCAGCCATAGAGTTCAAAACTGTGTTTCTTGTATTATCCCTCAGAGCTGAAGCAAAGACGAGAAGAGCACTCCGGCACCACTTCAGCTTTTGAACAATGGCAGAAGGACAATGACAGGAGTCATGCAACTAGTCAAAATATTATTTTGGGATTGGACTATCACACTTGGTTATGGAATTATAAATGGAAATTTAATCCTAAGAATTAAATTAACATGAAATTTACTTGGCCTGAGAAATTGGTCAATATCTGGGGTTTTGTTTTTTGTTTCTGTTCAGAAAATTTTAGTAAGTATTATTTCTTTCATATGATAATTTACCAAATCCCATACACAAAACTCTATTTTCCAGAACATAGTAGGAATAAAACACCTAGGGGAATTTCTCTGTGCTGCTTTCACATTCCTAACATTCTATTTTGAGCTCTACCTAAAAAACTCCTTTCTCGCACTCCTATGTTCTTTCAAGGCTACACTCTCACTAATAGTTTTGATGCCTCCTCAGTTTCTTCATGCCCACTATCTGCCTCTCATTTCCTTCTGACAGATTGATACAAATAGCTTCATTAATTAATTCCCAGCCTCTGTATTTTCCTTTGGTTCAGTTTACACGATGGCTTTCATTATATATTTCATTATATCTTCTTTTTTTTTTTTCTTTTTTAATCATTCCTTCTTTTAGTGTTACTGGAAGGAAGCGAATGTGGTCTCCAGCAGGCTTTTTATTTGAAACAGCGATGAAAAAATTACTCTTAATTACAATTTCCAGGCATTCTCAAAAGATAAGTTGTTGGTATGGATCCAGGAAAAATTTTATAGTTTTTTTTTTTTTTTTTTTTATTTGCTTAGGTACGGCAACCGCACAGCCACAGGCACAACAAAATTCTCCTAGGGTCAGAGACTTGCAGTGCGCAAGAAGCAAATGAATTGTGGGCAAAATGGATGAAAAGTCTGGTTAAAAGAAGATTCCAATTGACTATTACAATTATTTTTTTATTTATTTTTTTATTCATAACACATGTTTAGTGATTAATGATAACATAGTTCATAAAATAGATGAATCTGTGAAGTTCCATGATTTACTGTAATACATGAATTTGCATCTGAATATGGTAAAAACTAGTTATGCATCACCTTTTACGTTCAAAGGCATTACCATTGTACCTGGCTGCCACATAAACTGAAAATGACATTGATTTCAAGAGAATAAACATTAATTTTCATTTCTTCTGTGGTTATGTTGCTTTGTCAAGACCGGTCTTGTTGTTTATCTCCAGCAAAATATTTACTGAGGAAAGCTTGTGAAGAAGACACATGTTGATTTTCCAAGGTGGCATTGTTAAAGCATGAAGACTGGTGGTTATAGTGATATACAGAAAATCCTGGAAAAAAAGTGTACCTAGGTGTGGTAATTTTTCTTCTGTTAACTGTCATTATTGAGGGGCCTAATTCCTATACTTGAGGAAATTGGCCCCTTAATTCTTGCTGTATATGTTATGATGTCCAAGTCAGACCCTATCCCACTTCCAAATCCATAGACAGGTGTACCTGAAACTCACTTTTTATATGAATTTTGACATCTTAGCAAAGCTACAGGTCAAGGCACTTACAGGATTTAGATGCCCAGATCCCAATGTTTAATTAAAAGGTTTTAGACACTGGTCTGACAATTCGAGTGCTTGGTCAGGAAGTGGGAGACCTGTCTATTAGGCCTGCGTTAGCTGAAGAAAATGCACCTATCACCTAAGATTTTTCACGGCAAGCAATCCTCAGTCTGAGTGATGATGGGTTCTGGTTCCAGGAATGCAAGAGAACAAACTGGCTCTGAAATGTAGTAGTTAGAGAACTCAGCTTGCTTTTGGAAAAGCTTGGTTCCTGGGCCATGTGCCCAGAACTGTTTGTGCATTTTACTTCAGATCATCACTGGATAAGAAACAGAAACACTGAAGAGAACAATGACTGGAACTGCACTTCTCTGCCTTTCCAGCAAAGTTCTTGAGACATTACACTAATAAGTTAAGTACCCATTGCCACTGTGGTTTTGACTGTCGATGGATCCAGCTTCAACAAGAGGTATGGAAAGTGATTGCTTTTCTAGCATGATTTATTGTTTTATATTTTAGGCAAACTAGATCGCATATGCAGAAATTAAATCTTAAATGAAGAGCAGACTTCCATGCCGTCTGAAGGTTGGAATCTTATCATAGGTTTTTCAGCTAATCTCACAGAAGTATGATATAAACACATCTCACATATTAGGGTGCAAGAGAGACAAAGTTATGATAATGTCTTTCTGGATAGCAGTTTTATGTTGGGGAAAGAGTTTATTACATTGCAAAAAGTGATAACACATGATAACTAGATAAGGTAGAAACTGGTCTAGCCTTAGACCAGTGTTATGCAAGGTCTCTA